CTAAACCGTGAGCGAGCACCGAAGATGAGCCGCAATCTCATTTTTTTTTGGGTGGATTTCAGAGACAAACTGGGTCAATTTACACATCTGAGCTGAAGTTTCTACCCCTTTGAATCCAAAAACGATCAGAAAGGGGAAGGTCTTGGCCGGGCGTTTTGTTTAAGTTAAGGCCGATGTCTTTTAGAAAAGCAGATATTAAATACAGATATTAAAACAGACATCCGAATTAGCCGAACTAAGAGCCCAAAACCTCAGGAATAGCTATTTAAAACGGAAAAAGATTCATTTTCTCTATAAATTTCTTGCGAAATTGATAGAAAATGGTTAAAAAATGACTTACTCTGACCAAAACCACACTTTTGATAAATACATGAGTGAGATAATGTGTAATAAATGTCTTGAACGTGGAATAAACACCCCCTCAGCTCTAATAAAACCCTGATTGGACCAATTTATGCAACCACAACAAACTAAAGGGTTCCCATCTTTCCTAAAGCAGTGATATAGGGAAATCTGTGCCTGGTTTTTTATCTTAAAACCCATCTTAAAGCTTAAAGCAGGAGGAATCTTTACCTTCTGGTCAAAATTCTCCGGTGTGAGAAAGAAGTTGTAGAGAGGCACGAAGTATCCCTCCAGCAGCCCCATCAGCAGCACCAGGTACACGCCGTCTGCAAACTGAAGGAGCCAGTTATGAGCACCCAGGCCGAAAAGTGCCGAGTCAGCAAGCGCTTTTCAGACTCAGAGGCCTTTGAAAGATTCGAAGTAAGGGGGGGTTACCTGTGTGTCCAGTTCAGACACCTCTAGGTTGAGCTTGTTGAGGTGTTTGTTCACAAATGTGATCAGAGTCTGGAAAAAACAGCAAAGAGGTGTCAGGAGGAAGAAAAATATCTGCAAAAAAATGGACACAAATCCTCCGCCGGGGTAAATATGTCTCCCAGGAATTACAGTTTTCATTTATTTATCTTTAATCTGATGGAAGCATCCCTTTTCACACAGGTTTACTACAAAACTGTGGGGGGAAAAGGGTCAAACATCTAATAAAGGATGAACCAGAGCCTTTCAGAAGTAGTTTAAACATCGAAAAGTCGTGAAATCACTTCAGATAATCTGGAGAAAACTCAAACTTTTGGCTCTTGGACTTTTGGATTTTTTTGTCGTACCTTCTTGACGACATTGAGCTTGTCTGGAGCGTGGTCAAACAGGGTGTCGAAAGCGTCCCGCTCTGTGGAAAACACACACACGATAAGCACCACGGTGGAAAAAAAACACACACTCTCTAATAGAAATAATAACTGAAAAATGTGGTTTTTAACCCCCAGTGGGGGAAATTCAAAAAGGGAATTAGCTCAAAATGACATTTTGTTGAATCATTTAATAGTAGCACAAATAAATGAAATAAGCAAATAAGCAAATAGAAGCTAATAAATAAATCAGGATAAAAGAAAAAGGCCGGTTGGAAGAAGGGAAACGTGCATGTTTTTCATAATTCTTAATGAAAACGTACCATGTCGACCGGAGAAAGCCCTGAAAGACATCCAAGAGAAAGACAAAAAAAAAAAAGAGTCAGATGCAGAAATCAAAGGGGGTCTTTCTTTTCATTCTGAATTTTCCGTTTGGACGTTCGGAGCAAAGCGGAGACGTTTCCAGTTATATCGCAGAGGAATGCAGAGAATGGAGGGATTACGGCAAAAAACGGGCCGCCATAATGTACACGCCGCTCGGAATTTGATTCACAATGGCCGCGTGCGCTCCTGGGGGGGGGGGGGGGGGCCGCACAATGGGGGCAGGGGGGGAAAGGGAGTGGGACGGGGTCAGGGGGCCCTGCACACACACACACACACACACACACACACACACACACA